AAATAAATAAAATTGAATATGGTCTTTATATAAAATATAAACTAAAAACACAAATTATTATAATGGGCCAAATGATTAAAGTCAATCATAATATAAAATAAATTAAACAAAAGCCCAATTCTATTATAACAATGTTTAAAAGCCCAACTCTATTAAACTTATAGCCAAACAACATTAAACTCTTTATTACTACTATTTAAGTTTCCAAACAAACCTAAAGAGTACTACAACTTTAATAAGATAGATACTAGATTTTGAACCCGCACATCCGTGCGGGTAATTTTTTCATTTTATATATTCTATAACTATATAATCTTATTATTTTAATTATTTTTATATAATATATTGTTGTAATTATTTTTAAAAGTTCATATATATATATATATATATTAGATAATGTATTTGTTGTGAGTTACAAAAATATATGTTAACATTTTTTGTATAAAAATATTACATGTTTTAAAAAAATTAATATGTTTTAACAGTGAATGAAAGAAACTTTTAAAATAAAATATTTTTCTTTACCAATTTAATATACTTTTAGATTCATTTCACATAGCATTTTTATTTTAATATAAAATATAATATCATTAAATTATAAAATATACCAATTTTTATTTTTAATTAACATTAATATATATATATATATATATATTAATCACGAAATTAAATAATATATATTTTATAAAAATATTTAAAATTCTTGGTAAGATCATGTTAGATATTTTCTCAACAGATTTTGTTATAAAAAAATTAAAATATAAATTTATATTCAAATTGATTTATTACTAATATCTTATCTTCTATATTAAATAAAAATAAAATATTTTTCCAGTAATATATATCTGATTGATTAATATAAATAATCAAATATGTCCTATTAATGAAATGGTCCAAAATGAGTTTTGTGTAGTAGATATAAATGGTACTTCTCTTTTAATATAGAAGATTTGAGTTATATTCTTTTAGATTATTTTAATTTATTAATATTCTAAATAGTTTTGCATAATATTAAACAAATGAATAATAAAAACTAAATAAATAAAGCAGAGGGACACAACTTTGAAATTTTCTAATATAATTAATTTTAATAGTTAATTTAGTAAGAATTATCTAAATGGTGACCATCTAATATAAGTTTAAGATTTTTCCATAGAAGTTTAGAAGATAAAATGTTTATCAAAGATATGCAGCTATGTTAATTGTATCCAACTTGTGGATCTTTGTTTATATATATGCTATTAGATGATTCTTTCAGAATTTTCAAATTTATATGCTGAATATTTTTGCATAATAATAAAGAAATAAACTGTAAAACCACTGAAAACAATAAAACACAGAAACACAACTTTGAATTTTCCAAATATTATCTATTTTTAGTTACTTTAGTTATGATTCCTTTTTTCTGGCAACTTAGTTATGATTATTTAAATGTGACCATCTAAAACTTCATTAAATATTCTACTTTTTTATTTTCTTTATTGGTTTTCAATTATATATATACGTTTTTACATAACTTAAGGAAAATGATAGACAATATAATGATCATGGTCATGAGTTTTGATAACCACGTCAGTTACTTTAAACTATCTCTACAACTTTGTGCTGTTGATTCATCCAGACTTCCAGTGAATTATTGTTAGAACTTAAAAGTAGTCACATAGGCACCGTCGAGCAATCATCTCCATTCTCTAGTCGTGCCATCTGTTTATAGCTCCTCTTGAGACTTTCTGCTCGTGTTGGACTATAATCTCTGATCGAGCTTTGAATTCTAGAGACTTGGAGATTATGATGTGGCAGTGATGAGAAGATGAGCTTTGTTCTTGCGGCGTCCTGCACCCTTAGACACAGTCCTCATAGTCCCTCAGACACAGTCCAGTATCTCTGATAGACTTTGCAGAAATGACAAGGCTGGTTTATGTTGCTGTTGTTCTAGTAACAGAACTTAGTCGTCCGCTGATTGTTCTCGTTGCTCTCTCTCTCTCTGTTCTGTTGATGTTGCTTCCTCTTTGTCCCCTGTTTCTGGTTTTGAATCATTTGAAGTGTTTAGACTCTTGTTGTTATAGTTGTTCTTATTATTTGATGACTATGGAGTTACTTGCTCCGTAGTTACCTGACACGGATAACAACAAACATTTTAATTTTATAATACTTGCAATTAGTCTACTTTTTACAACTAATCAAAGAAATATGGTTACTTTAACTATGCTAATATAAAGCACGAAGAGAAACAAAGGTTTTGTAGAAGACAACCTATGATAGCAGAATGAAGAAGACACAATACACCAACAAACATATAAAACAAAAAAAAAGTGATCGGACTTTCAAATCTAACACTGACCAAGAGGGTATGTCAGTCCAAAATGAAAGAATGCATAGAACCAAAAACGCATTGACAGTATAAACATATAGTTTGAAGCAATTGGATTACGCCACAGTAGCAAAAGACTGTAGCAGATCAAATGTTTAGATAGTTTCTTAAGCCTAAATAAAATAATTTTCTCAAGGATACTGAAACAAAGCTTGGAAGAGAAAACATTAAGCACAAACAATGTCTAGGACAGTACACTTACTTCCTCGGAACCTTTCTCGAAGGAGAATAAATGGATATACAGGAGTTTTATGGGCATTGACATTGAATGTTGTCTTCATGAGGCTGATGTCTGTGAAGATAAAGACATAGTTTAATTCAGCAGATGCCTGAAAGTGTTAAGCTGATGCACATAAATAGAGAAGCAATGACTGTTAAACGGAAAACTCATGAGAAGATTGACAAAATATTAGAGAAGCAACATAATAAAATCAGATTCTAGCATCAACTGGACATGAAATAGTTCGACCTATTCATCAAGTATGAACATGTCACTCCTATTAGCTCTCCTTTCTTGACTTGGTGAGCTTCCCAGAAATGTAGGAGACGCATCACCGCTTAAGAGTGAATGATGAGTGAACAGTTCGCCGAAATTATTTAGTTTAATGATTTCTTGAAATCTAAAGAGCAGATTTCTTACATTAAAACCATGAGCATTTAAACCCACATCAATTCACCACCACGCCTGGGATTCCTCACCTCCCAGCAGGTGAACCTTGACGGTGGAGAAGCAGCGGCCAGACTCTGGAGGAAACCATTAGAAAGAGATTAAGTATAGTGAGAGAGGTTTGTGAATGATTCTCAGAAGATGGAAGCGAACATCTATATATACTTGTGATTCTACCGACTTGCAGAGGATGAGAAGAGAGTAATTACAAATCATGGTGGAGTTAATGCGATTATCAATGCGTTTAAGACGATTTCTGGTGGAGGTTCGTCTTTACCGTAGAAACCTCAACGGATGCAATGAATACGTACAAATTGGATCGTCACACAGAGATAAAATGCAGTAAACTCCATGATGTCAATCACAACTTCAGAAAAGAACCCTAATTCGCTGAGGAAGAGAGAGGCGAGATGACTTTACACAGGCGACGGGTCATAGAGCGTGAGCCACATTAAGCCATTAAACACAAAATGCCCATATCATGTAAAACAAAGTATAACACAGTGTTTTGCACCTTGTACACATGTCATGCCCACATCAAACGAATTAGTGACGCGGCGGAGCATATATATAGATAGATTTATCATGGTATATGGAATAACTAATTAAATGCATATTAATAATTTTAGCGATAAGATCATTGTTAATTTTATTTTATTCTAAAATGAAAGAAACATCAATGAAGAAAGAGAAAAAATAAAAAAAAGGATTAAATTTGGGTTGGATTATGGGTCAGATTATGAATTCGATACTGAAAATGATATGAGTGACATGAATCTATAAATATCGTGAAGTTCTTAAATTTTCTTAATTATTTTTTCTATTTTTAGGTTAAATTTAAATGTAAAATAAATAAAAAATAGACACGAAATCATATTAGAAAAATGTGAAATTTTGAAAATAATTTTACCTTACGCTCTAAAATAACCGGACGAACGGTAAGATATAGATTGTATCAAATCAAAGAGTATGAGTCCATAATCCATATTTCATAGGGAAGAAACCTAACGAAAACAATTGGTTGGTATTGAATAGACTGACCTAGTAATTCGATTAAGTGGAAACCGGTTTTGAATTCGTTGTCTTAATGGATACGCAAAATGGAGAGATCTCGAATAACCGGTTGGTTTTGAATTGGTTGAACAGGCAATGTGTTAGTAATGCACGGTTGGTTTTGAATTGTTCGTAAACCGAAACCAAAATGGAGAGAAATTTTGGCGGCACAACACTTTTTCCTCAGCCTCACATTGACACAGAGATAAGCTGAGGAGGAGAACTGGAATCCATATCGGCAGCTTCGGGAACCACCGTCTTATTCTCCAATATCCGTCACCAAAATAACCGTCGATTAGGTCTCCACGATCGTCGCCATGAGAATTTATCCTTCGTTTCATCTTCACAAATGTCGCAGCAGGGATGGCTCTACGTCCTCGAGACAAAGTTGAGAAGAGAGATTCTGAGTCTCGGTTTCGTCGCAAGAGCTGCTGATTCCACAAGTTCTCCTTCTTCTCTGGCTTCCGGTGGTGATAAAACATTAATCCCCGATGATGAATTCACTCTAGCCAAGGTCATTTCATTGTCAGTTCTTTCAAAATCCTAAATCAAGATTCATTTGGATGATCACCTGCTCGATATGATTACCTGGAACGGGGAATTAAAATTGATTCGAATTTACTTAACTGTTGTTTCTTTGAAAAGGGTAAAAAAACATAAGTGTGTGTGTATTAGAATGTGTGTTGGGACTTTTTGCACACTGAAAACATTTGTAATTTGCATTTTGCAGATTTCATTTGGTGTTATTGGCCTAGGTCTCGGGGTCTCGCTCCTCTCGTGAGTTTCTTTCCTATCTTCTTTGTTGCTGCGTATAGTTTTTGTGTGAATTCTTGAGAATTCTTGCAGTTATGGTTTTGGGGCTTACTTTAACATCCTTCCTGGATCTGAGTGATCTGCTATTATGCTAACATATGGGTTTCCTCTTGCTATAATCGGAATGGCACTCAAGGTATGAATGACCCCATCCATCTCTTTAGTTATCTTGGAGTAGCTATAACTTCACAGAGAAAGATTGCTTGTGTATAACAGTTCTTCATTTCTTTCTTTGGTTCCTTTGCAGTACGCAGAACTCAAACCAGTCCCTTGCTTGAGCTACGCACATGCGGTGAAGCTTAGGGAAAGCTCCGCTACTCCTATTTTAACGCAGGTACGTAGTAGTTCTGGTTGTTCTCTGTACTTTACCACAGTGATTTCTTTCTCCTTGTAAATAGTTCTCTTCTCTTTTACAGAAATTTCCTAAAACATATATTTAGGTTTCTGTTTGAAGCTGCTCAAAATTTTCTAAAACTGAAAACACATAATCAGAAGAAGGTGTTTATTGCATCATTGGTATTTGGAAATACAATATAAAAGTTAGCTCCATTGCAGTGTTCTATGTCTAGTTACATAAGGTCTTGCTTCACACAAAAGTTGAGCTTAATTTCCCTGTTCGCTGTTAGGTTAGAACTGATTATTTCCCCCACTGTATATTGGTTTGAAGAGTTTTTGCTTTTATTAGGTTAGAAATGATGTCACGAGATACCGTTATGGAGATGAACAACATCTGGAAGAAGCACTAAAACGTATCTTCCAATATGGACTGGTAAGCTAATATTCTTATACACACACACACACACTTTTTTACATCCTCTTTAACCGCTCTTTCTATTTTGTTTTTTTTTGGGGATTAGGGTGGAGGAATACCAAGACGTAGTGCACCTATCTTAACGATGATAAGGGAAGAGGTAAATCTCTTATTATCCATGATTACACATGTTTGAACCGAAAACGGTGTGTTTTTCGAATCATACAATGAAAGAATCTAAGGATTAGATTCTTGAGGCTTAGGAGAAATCAACATTGAAATCAAATGAGAAAGAACATCCAAGAGATTTTATTGATCAAAGATTGCATTACAAAATGATGTAAATAGTAAAGTGAATCTAAGAATCTATAAAATCCTTATAGGAAGTGTTCTACATCTAAAAGAGGAGAAAAATCCCCCTAAGAGGGGTTGCCTCCTTATTTATAGGAGAAAAAACCTAGGGCATCCTAATAATATGGGCCTTATTCATTATTTAATGGGCCTTGTGGAGGATGTAAATCCACCCCCAACAGTAAGTCCCCCAAAGTTCGTAGAGAAAAACAAAGTCGATCTCTGTGAATTTTACGAATAGGGTTTATTAGACAATGAACTAGATATATACCCATATCGTAGACGCATTGTCATGAGCGAGCTGTCATGGTGAGGTTTTCATAAATGAAGTGTCACAGACGGAATGCTACGGGGCGAGCCGTCGTTAACAAACTTCTGATTCAGATTAGACTTCTTATTCTGGGGATGGTTGCGCGAACGATCTGTGAGGACAATGTTCTGAACCACCGGAGTAAGTCGCCATGGATGAAGCGTCAATCGACTAAATGCCAAGAATAAATCGCCATAGACATCATTATGAACGTACCGCCATAGCGAACCGTCACAAACATATTGTCATAGGTAGACATGTCTTAGCGGTTGCCGCAATCCATGTGTAGATAAAATGATGAAATCGACGGGTCAAATTGGCGGGATGAATTTTGCTCCTGCCCAGTATCTTGGTGTCTCCTCCGTGAACTTGCAAAAGAGTGACGAGATGAAATGACTACCGAGAATGAAGATGGGTGCGGAGATCAGATTGTTGTGTCAAGGTCATCACGTGATTGCTACTGTCTGAGAGGCCGAGCTTAACGACGAGATCAGAGAGGCGAATATAATTAGTCTTGAGCAGTGTACAAGCTTGGGGAGCTGAGTGGAATCATACAGCCTGAGTAACGAGCTGGAGCATGCCTTGCGAGATGTTGCAATCTCCACTTCTCAAAATCAGTTATGATGAAGAAGAAACACAGACTGTGTCTATTGACGTTGGAGCCAATAAGCTGTTGTGGAGCTTGAGAGCGTCCTGCTGAACTCAACTCGAGCAAGCTTGAGAATGACATGTCATTGGTGGAGGCCTCGTCATGACAGAGAACAGAGCTCAACTCTGCTCTCAGCTACCGTTGATGGAGCTCAAGTCTTTGTAAACCATAGTTCAAGTCGTCTTAAACTGCCCTTTGTGGAGCTTGAGAGCGTCATCATCTAGGTGTTAACTTGAAGAAATAAGTGGAGCCCAAGGTTGAGGTTGGATGAGGTTTGGGTCTGGTGCAAGAATAGGGTGAAACCTCCGGAGATTGTCTATGAAGGCTTTAGGAGGGTTTAAAGGTGTCCAGAAGAGTCCTGAAGTTGGGACCATTTAGGATTTTAGGAGCCATTTAGGAGGGAATTTAGGAGCCATTTAGGATAAATGGTCAAGTGTGCAAATATAGGGTGGACCGTACGGATTCTGTACAGACTGTACGGATCCGTACGGAATGGCCCGACCTAGAATATTGACACTCGACCATTTGAGGTGTTTTAAGCTTTGTGAAAAAATAGGGCGAAACTGTACGAACCATAACATGTCCGTACACTCCCTGGTAGTTTGTGCAAAGTTAAGGAAACACCCTAAATGGTTCTGGACGTGGGGAAGAAGGATTGATCCCAAAAGAATATTCTGGTCCAAGGAGAAGATGCCTTAGGATAAGGCTGGTCAAGGTGGTCCAAGGGAAGGAACCAATCAGAAGAGGATAAGGCATGCTGTGTGCAAGTTGTCTTTATGTGTGTAGACCATGTATCTGGTCTGATACATGTCTAGGTTCANGGTTCTGGACGTGGGGAAGAAGGATTGATCCCAAAAGAATATTCTGGTCCAAGGAGAAGATGCCTTAGGATAAGGCTGGTCAAGGTGGTCCAAGGGAAGGAACCAATCAGAAGAGGATAAGGCATGCTGTGTGCAAGTTGTCTTTATGTGTGTAGACCATGTATCTGGTCTGATACATGTCTAGGTTCATGGGCGCCTATAAGAAGCCAATAAGAAGCTGCCCTTGCCTGGACCAAGATTCAAACTCACCCAATCTCAGCCATCCATCTTCAAGTCCTTTATTAGCCATCAGATTTAGGGCTTTTGTTCAGAAACTTGTAAAAGCTATTTATAAGCCTCATATGGACGAAATTGTATCTCTTTAGTGAGAGAGTGGGACTTCCCCTCCTCCCTCATAATAAAAAAGTGTGTTCTTGGCTAAGAATCTTTTAATCTTTCCCTTTCTTATACTTAATCTCTTAATCTCTTTAAATCTCTTGTTTCTGGTCAAGATTCACACTAATCTCTTCAGACCTTTCTCACTTCATTTCAAGCTCTGATTTCGCCCTAAAGGGCTTCTTCTTCACCACCACAGCCTGAGCTCTAAAAACTAACATGGTATCATAGCCCATGGTTTGGCCCAGTATTATGATTTCCCACATAAATAGTTTCCTACCTATGTAGCCTGTAAAGTGGTCCATATGCTGTGGTATTTCCGAGATGTTGGGCTTGGGCTGTTTCCTTATGGACCGTTTCCCACCCACATCTCGAGAGGGGCTATTAGATTGTCCCACATCGTTAAAGATGTGTATCCTTGGGCAATATATATGTGTATGGGCAATCCTCCACTCTTGAGCTAGCTTTTGGGTGTGAGTTAGGCCCATCACTAATATGGTATCAGAGCCAGGTTCATCAGAACTTGGTGTCTAGCTTCCGCAACTCATCACAAGTCCATCCTCATCACAGATCCAAACCATAGAAGTCTTGTCCAGCCTTGGTTCTCTCTCCTCAAGAAGAAGGTGTATGAAGCCATGGTGGTTCTTCCTGGTCGCTCGTCTCCTCTCCTGTCCATTAAAGGCATGTGACATCTCAAGTTCAAGCTGGTTCCTTTCAAGAAGAAAGCTCACTCCTTGTTCATGAAGATGGCGACTTGGGAAGGTGAAGAAAGGTGGAGCCTTTTGTGTTGTGGGTTCAAGAAGGCAGTCATGAATCAGGAGGGGCACTGTTGGGTGACGACTCAACATCTCCAGTCCATCAAAATGACATGACAAGTTGCCTAGGAGGCTCAAGGAATCAACTCGGATTCCTTGGTTGTAAGCTAATCCTAAACCTTCTTGATATGAGCTTGTGGTTGTATATGGCTGTGGTTGAGTGATATGTTGCAATCCGTGGGTTCTTTTGCTTGATGGTATTGTATTTTGTAGTCCCAGGATGCTAGTGTTTATTGTAGAGACTTGTTTGATGTTGAGAAGTGATGCTTACCTCGGTTTGGTTGTGATTGTGTTAGGATGTTAGAAACTGTCTAAATCCAACTAGCTTTCATTAATCTAAAATCGCCTAAGGTAATGCATATTGTCTGATGTTGATTGATGATAATAATGCCTAATCCCAGCTCTAAATTAAGTTTATTGAAATGGTAAATGGTTGCATCTAAATTGATTGCATTCATGTGTTAGAGGCTGATTAAGATTAGAGCATATATTAACATTTTCTTGCTGCCTTAATGTTGAGCATCTAGATGGATGTATATGAATGTGATTAAGGCAGGGTTGTTTGCCTAAATGCTAAGTAGTAGTTCCTGATCAGTTCTTGCTTAGTGTTTAGAGAATGGTAGCTTGCATAGACATGAACTTGATAATAACTTGTTGCTGTCTATTGTGTTGCTTGTGATATTGGAGATCAAACTTGATGATTAGTCAAGGATTGATCCCAATACTATTGTGTCTTATCTTGTATGGAGTTTGAGTGATGTTTCAGGTTCACAAGAAGTGGTCTAAGTCCATCATCAATCCGAGTTCAAGAGGAAGACCTTGTCCATTGTGAAGAGAAATGGGAAGTGTCTTGTGTGTAGAGGCTGGTTATAAGTATGCGCAGACCTGAAGGTTGTTGAGCTCCTGGTCTAATACACACAAGAAGAAAGGGTCATCACCTAAGCCTAGAAGAGGCCGGTGACCTGAAGGCATTGAAGCTGAAGGCAATGGTGAATTGGTTGACTTTAGCGCAGCTGTTGGAAGTGGTGTGCTTCCGGTTTGAAGTTCATTGAGGCTCATTGTCAAGCTTGAACCTATACTCTGTCAAGCTTGAGGTGGGGATTCAAGTGAGCTACCAGAAGACCCTCAAAGCTCAATGACTTGTGTTCCTCAAGGCCATTGCAAGCTGATGATCTTGAAGGGATCCAGCCGAAGTGGAGGGAAGAAGAAGGTCACTCAAAGAAGTGGCTGAGGTATCTCCTCAGTGCAATGGTGATTAAGTGGAGGATTTAAGCATCAAGTCTGAAGAAGATGGAGGTGCTCTCCACAAGGCTTATCATGGAGTTCACATGCGCTCACCATCAAGCTTGGACCTTCCCTATTCTTGGTCTCAAGCTTGAGGGGGAGTGTGGATGAGCTTATGTGATAAGAGAAGGAGCTTAAGAGCTCAACAAGTGAGGATTCAAGTGGCAGTTCAGAGAAGCCACTCCTCACCATCTAAACAAGGGAGTAAACCTGATCTTAACTCTTTAATATATATACATTATAGGTTTATCTCTTGAGAACTGATATACTTGTAGAATGATGTATCAGGTACCTTACTTGGATGCTCAATGAGATGAGGAGCTAGGCGTGTGGTCTGGCCTGATGAAGAAGGCAAGAAGCCATGAGAGAAGGGAAGATACAAGCCAGTTCATAGATGAGGTCCGAGAAGGTGTAGTGATGTGCAATGAAGTGAAGATCAACATTGCATCACATGTTTGAGGCCGTGATCCAGAGTCTTTGGTGTCCATCACACTGATGAGAACACAAAGACTCACTGGCCAATTCCTAGGCCTTGAAGGCTCTACTCTTTCCTTACAAGGCCAAGCTTGTAAGGTTTTTAACGAGGGAGTTTTTCAAGGTTCCAAGCTTGACTTAGAGTCTCTAAAGTCAAGCTTGAAGGGGAGTGTTAACTTGAAGAAATAAGTGGAGACAAAGGTTGAGGTTGGATGAGGTTTGGGTCTGGTGCAAGAATAGGGTGAAACCTCCGGAGATTGTCTATGAAGGCTTTAGGAGGGTTTAAAGGTGTCCAGAAGAGTCCTGAAGTTGGGACCATTTAGGATTTTAGGAGCCATTTAGGAGGGACTTTAGAAGCCATTTAGGATCAAATGGTCAAGTGTGCAAATATAGGGTGGACTGTATGGATTCTGTACGGACTGTACGGATCCGTACGGACAGGCCCGACCTAGAATATTGACACTCGACCATTTGAGGTGTTTTAAGCTTTGTGCAAAAATAGGGCGAAAGTGTATGGACCATAACATGTCCGTACACTCCCTGGTAGTTTGTGCAAAGTTGGGGACTCACCCTAAATGGTTCTGGACGTGGGGAAGAAGGATTGATCCCAAAAGAATATTCTGGTCCAAGGAGAAGATGCCTTAGGATAAGGCTGGTCAAGGTGGTCCAAGGGAAGGAACCAATCAGAAGAGGATAAGGCATGCTGTGTGCAAGTTGTCTTTATGTGTGTAGACCATGTATCTGGTCTGATACATGTCTAGGTTCANGGTTCTGGACGTGGGGAAGAAGGATTGATCCCAAAAGAATATTCTGGTCCAAGGAGAAGATGCCTTAGGATAAGGCTGGTCAAGGTGGTCCAAGGGAAGGAACCAATCAGAAGAGGATAAGGCATGCTGTGTGCAAGTTGTCTTTATGTGTGTAGACCATGTATCTGGTCTGATACATGTCTAGGTTCATGGGCGCCTAGAAGGAGCCAATAAGAAGCTGCCCTTGCCTGGACCAAGGTTCAAACTCACCCAATATCAGCCATCCATCTTCAAGTCCTTTATTAGCCATCAGATTTAGGGATTTTGTTTAGAAACTTGTAAAGGCTATTTATAAGCCTCATATGGACGAAATTGTATCTCTTTAGTGAGAGAGTGGGACTTCCCTTCCTCCTTCATAATTAAAAAGTGTGTTCTTGGCTAAGAATCTCTTAATATATCCCTTTCTTATACTTAATCTCTTAATCTCTCCAAATCTCTTGTTTCTCGTCAAAATTCACACTAATTTCTTCAGACCTTTCTCACTTCATTTCAAGCTCTGATTTCACCCTAAAGGGCTTCTTCTTCACCACCACAGCCTGAGCTCTGAAAAACCAACACTAGGTTCCACGTTTCGTGTCATCAGAGAGATAATCTTCACGAAGAAAATTAAAACCCCGTTAACAATTAGACCTTGAAAATCAATAAAAATTGTAAGAGTTGATATGCTTTATGACTTAATAGCTGGCTAGCATATTAATTTTTCATAGAAAGAGACAAGGGTTACGTATGACTAGTGTAATCCATTAACTTTGCCAATAATTTTAATAAATTATCAGATGAACATGTTTGAGTAGTCTAATAATAACAGTGAGTTAATAATAAGAAAACTTATCTCAATGGATCTCTTGAAAGAGTGAAAGAGATTAGAGATGGCGGCCCAAAACAGCTCGGTGTTGAATCCAAATTGCCTAGCTTTGTTACCGAGATCAAGTCTTGATCTTTGCCATGATCTATCAGGATCCACCGGTGGAGCATAAGAGGATGAGCTTTCTTGTCTGCAATGATCCATTGACGTTGTGAGGAATGACGGTGACGAGTTGCAGGAACCATGATCAAAAGCCATGAGCTGTGATGCTTCTATCTCATATCAAAGAGGAGCTTAAGGCAAGTTAGCCTAGAGCTTGTGCCGGTTGCGGCAAACTCGTTGTGAGAATCTGAGTTTGTCACTTTTGAAGCACGTCACATGTCTGCTTCTCAATACCAGAGATCATTAATATGCTGAGATGGTAAGTCTCGAGCCTTTGGACGTCTTTGCGACGAGGTGACTAGAGGACTACTGGAACTGTATTTGTGAAGGCCAAAAGCCATGCTTGATGAATACTACGTTGTCGATATTGACTCAGCCGCTTCCCCAACCAAAACCAAGTTTGTTCCTCCTACTCCAAACCAGACCCAGTCTAACCAGAGCTTGGATTTTTTCATTAAGGGATGCGTAGTTGTCTTTTGGCGACATTGCTGCGCTAAGAGCTCCACTGTTGTTTCTCCAGGACTGTTTCTGTTGCTGCTGCTTCGGCTTTGTTGTCTCTTCGTCTGAGTAAGAATTGCACAAGAATCTTCTGAGTTTAAGCTGCTCAAAGTAGAGAACCTGAACTATGGATTGCTTTGGAAGCCGCTCGTTTTGCGCAGCGTGTGCTCCAGCCTCTTGTGAGAGTTTCTGGAAGTTGATAAGTTTTAACAGCTTCTTCTTGTCTGAATCTGATAATCCTTGATGTGCCTTAAGATAGAGATCAATGGCACGATATAAGCCATCATGAAGAGTCCGAGCCTGAAGCGGTAATGCTTCTGCAATGAGCAAGAACTTGGGAAGGTCAAGTTTGTCTCAAGAGCTTGAGTGAAGGAACCAGGTCTTGCGTCACTGATTTGAGATGTGTTCTGAATCCAGACGGTGAATCGACGCTGTTTAGCTCAGACCGATGGAGGTTGAAGCCAGAACGAGCTAAGGAAGCAGCATGGCTCTCATCGCCCCAATCGAAAGTCATAAAATTCTCCGGCTTTACCGGAAGCGGTGCAAGCTACGGCATGAATGGAAGATGAAAGACTCGATCTTGACCTTTTATCTTTTTTAAACCTAGATCTAGGTCTATCATTTTCTCATGGTTTAATCTCTTTGAAGATTGTTCTCCTTAGCCCCCTCCTTCTAGCGCCAACTGTTTGAACCGAATACGGTGTGTTTGTCGAATTCATACAATAATAGAATCTAAGGATTAGATTCTTGAGGCTTAAGAGAAATCAACATTGAAAACAAATGAGAAAGAACATCCAAGAGATTTTATTGATCAAAGATTACATTACAAAATGATTTGAATAGTAACGTGAATCTAAGAATCTATCAAATCCTTATAGGAAGTGTTCTAGATCTAAAAGAGGAGAAAAATCCCCCTAAACAAAGAGGGGTTGCCTCCTTATTTATAGGAGAAAGAAACCTATGGCTTCCTAATAATATGGGCCTTATTCATTGTCTATTGGGCCTTGTGGAGGATGTAAATCCACCCCAACAATACATCATTCATATCAAATAAATCTTGTTTTTAACTTGCATTTCACATGGACTTTGAAACTTAGCCGGATCATTTTCTCGTATATGCAGGTCCTGAGCGATGGTCGTTATTGCCTTGTCCTTGTATTCGAGGCCAAAGCTCTCAAGTTGTCAGATTTCGAACAAAGACATGTAAGAGTTAGACACAATACGTGTGAACATTCGTTTCCATCACTTGTAGTCTCTAAGAAGTACAAGAACATATAAAAGTCTAAAACATATTGTATTTGATAGGCGAAATTCACTTCCTTCTTTGGACCAAACATCACTGCAGAAGTCGGTAAGTAGTCATGAATTCACCATTTACATGTTTGTTTAGTATTTTCTTATTTCCCAGATATTAAATTGAAGTAATTGGAATCATTAACTTTCTACTTCTTTTTTTTTTTCCATTTTGAAGGTAAAGGAGAAAGTGAGAATGTCTATGAAGTAAGACTGACCTCTAACGTCTCCACCAGCTCTGTATCTTCTTCTACCTCTTGAATATGGAAAAAGCATATACATGGCAACGTTTCGATCAACGACATGTCATTTTGCTTCTATATATCAACCATGTATAATGACCCCATGTATATAAAGTTCACTACCCCTCTCTGGGCTACATGTGTAAGGTCAGTCATTAATTTAAAATCAAAGGAAGTAAACCAGAGTTCTTAACGCTGATACTATATATACAATAATAGTGGACTTAAGATGTAGCAGTGACACATTCATCTTTGAGCAAAATCTCTTTGCTTGGTGTTTCATCTGAATCTTAGATATGTATATAAGTGTGAAACTTCTTGCTCAGACTGAAACCTAGACCTAATAGATTCTTGAAACAAAGAAAGCGATCAACCCACAACACTTCGTTTATCTGGTGTCACCTCCTTTCCATAGTGTGAAGGAGGAGCTATACTCACCGGAGCTGATAACACCAGCAATGCACTAAATTGGCTCAAGCTCTGGATCAACAATGGTGTGTTTCTCTATCGTCTCTCTCTCTCTCACTCTGAGGTCTTATATTATGATATGTACAAGTTGTAACAACTTATACTACGTCGTTTTACACTGCTTATACCACGTGGTAAAAAACGTGACTTTGACTCAAGCCCAAACTGGCTTAGACCATACCATGATAAACCAGAAACACACATTGGTCATATACATATAATATAAGGACACTCTCTTCAAATCTCCTCCTTGTCATGCATATATGTCTTAGTACATCTTCATCTTCCCTTGTTTAGCATCACCTAGATCCTTCATTTCGAATTCTGAAATGAGAAGCTTCTTCGGACATGCTACTTTCTTCTTACTCTTAGATGTTATGAGGATATCATCTACATATAAGAGTAAACAGATGTAGCTGTTCTCCTCAAACTTCTTGAAATAGACGCATATGTTATACTCACTCATTGTAAACCCATGGTCTAGTATGAACTCATCAAATCTAGTGTTCCACTGACGAGGTGATTGTCTCAGACCATATAGAGATGTCTTCAAGAGATAGACTTTTTCAGGATGAGCCTTTTCTACATATCTTTCAAGTTGTTTCATGTATATATCTTCATCAAGATACCTATGCAGAAACACCGTCTTTACATCCCTTTGTTGAAGTTCCATGTCAGAATAAACCACCATAGACAGTTAAACTTGATTGATACATGATTCATTACTAGTGAGATAATTTCTTGAAAATCAACTCCTTCCTTTTGCGCATACCCCTTGGCAACTAGTCTTACTTAAACCTCAGATCATCCACTCCTACTATAGCAACCTTCTTCATAATGATCCACTTACAACCATTATAATTCTGATCCTTCACTCTGTCAACTAGAGGATCAATAGTGCACGATAGTCCACACACATGTGCAAAGAGCCATCTTGCTTCTTCTGGAACAGCACGGGGGCTCCATATGGTGCCTTGGAAGGATGGATAAAGCATGCATCCAGCAAGTCTGTCAACTGCTTCCTAAGTTCTGCCAGTTCCAATGCCCCCTTTTTATTGGTTTTCTCCCATGCTTTTGTTGGTCAACAACCAGACCTTTTAGTCGACTAGCTGGCGTTCCTCGGCTCGCGAAAGGAGCTCACGATCATCCAATCCATCTTTCTGCGACAAAGCAAGCTTGTTGCACCGTGGACTCTGATTCAGTAGCGGCAGAAAATCCTTTTCTATTCTACGATCTGATCTTGTTTATTGCCCAATTTGTAAGAAGCCCCTTTGACATCTCTTCATCTGCAAATAATTCCAAAGAATATATAGACTTGTAAAGACCCTCTATGTAGTTGCTATCTAAAGGCGACCGATCTACATCTTTATCCATAGCCGTCGAAGATCCCACCGTGATATGTTAGTCTATATAATGCCGGACATTTACCTGATGGAGGTCCAACCATTATCCTTTGTGGGATCACACCCGTCAATCTCCGATGAATCAAGTAAGGGGGGGGGGGGTAGTCAAGCATGGGTCGCCCTCTGGAAAGAAGGGCTGGAGGGTTTATGATCTTGAGAGTGGCACCATCTTCGAACCTAGCAGCATTCAGAAGGTCATACTGCTGGTGGAAGTTGCGTAGCCTACTCAAAGGTTCAGGCCGGATTGTAGGAAATGGGCGATACATTTTTGTATTTCTATGAGAAGCTCTACGACACCCACGATTCCCAGTAGTAAGTAGTTATGACCATTCAACTTTATAGAGGTAATCTGCATACTGACCTGATCACAAAATACAAAATCTGAAACTCTCTAATACTTTCTTCATCTGCTGATGTCCACAACTCGCTATCATGATCTTCTAAAGTTTCTTGATAACTCCCCGTTCGGGTTTTCCAGCATCGTCCATAATGAGATGATCCAATCCAGCTATGTCTTCATCTCCTTCATATACTTGATAATCTTTGAATTTTGTAGGTTGTCTGGCCTGCCTTTTTTCCTTGCTTTGACCACCTGATAATCACTCAAGTCTTATTGACCAACTAAATCTTTAGTCACTTCAGACATCTATGGTTGTTCTGAGCTATCTTCTGCAGGTGACTCAATAACTCCTCCTTGACCCTCACTTCTAGATACATGTTCACCTGCAATCTAAAAACTTAGACAATCGTTAGTTAATAAAGGACTTAGAGATATAAGATTACTCGAGGCATTGGTCTTGTTGATGTCTTTGTACATTCCTTATGATAATGCATCTTTCCTTGTCTAGTAGCCATACTCAGAACCTTTTAACCCAATCATGAGACCCAGTAAATACCCTTTTCTTTGATATCAGATTCAACTTTCTTTCATCTGAGTGAACATACACCAAACACCTAAACCTTTTCAACCCTTTAAAATCTGGAAGAGCTGATGTCCACATCTATCTAGAATCCTGAAGTTAATAGCTGATGACTGTGACATGATGATCAAATACACTGAAGTTGATCTTACAATTTCAATTACTTAGAGTTGAAACAATCTTGTTTTATTTTTATTGACTATTATTCTTTTTTTTTGTTTATTAGGTAAGACATTTATTTTAGAGAGAATTAGAGCAATATCCATAATTGAGGGTCTAATTAGAGAAGTGTCTATGATGTGACATAAAAACAAGATTTTATACAATTATATTTTGATTGGACATTAAAGTCTCTCTTGCATTATCAATTCCTCTATGATTCTTTAATTATTCTGACACTCTCTTTCTCCTCTTCTCTTACACTCTCTTTCTATTTCTTATTATATTTTTTTTTCTTCCATATTTTTTCATCCAAAATTTTTTTATTCATTAAAAACTAATTGACACACGAAACAAAATAATTTTTATTCGTGAAAAACTAATTAACACACGAAACAAAGTATTGATTTGTTTAATTACACCATAGATTGAGAAAATCATCATTGCAATATCTTTAAAATCACCGATTGTTAACAAATGTGTTATCTGTAACAAATAATGTAAATGTTAATAGATGTGCTAGCTGTTAACAAATACATGTACCAGAGGTGTTAGCTGTTAATAAATTTGTTAACAGTTATTGTCTCTGTTAACACATCTGGTACATGTATTTGTTAACAGCTAACACATCTTTTAACATCTACAAAATTTGTTAACAGTTAATGTCTCTGTTAATACATCTGGTACATGTATTTATTAACAGTTAACATCACATTATTTTCTATATATAATATTAATAACTCATCTGATAGTATTATATATGGAAAATATTACTATTTCATAAATTAAAGAAACAAACAAAAAAATTGAAGAGAAAATGATCAAATAATAAAAGAGATGATGAGAAAGTTTGAATCAGAGATAGAATAGCAAAAAAGTGGAATCGTTATTATAGAGTGTTAGGAGAGAGAGTGTCAGGAGAGAGATTGGTGGAAATAGAGTCAAAATCGTCATTTTTTAAATAATGTCAACTCATGGATAATTGCCTAATTAGATACCTATTTAGGATATACCAGCAAATTATCTCTTTATTTTATGGTAATTTTCTCAAATTATTTTAAGTTTTTGTCACAAAAATAGAACTCAAAAAGTAAAATTATAGAAATAGTATTTTCTATTTTGAATTTTTTTTTTTAATTTGAAATCCTATCTCTAAAACCCCATTCCTCAACTCTAAACCCTAAACTCTAAACCTTAAACCCTAAACCCTAATCTCTTAACTCTAAACTATAATGTCTAGATTAATTAACCCTAAGGTATAAGTGTATATTTTCTTCTTTTGAAAAAATATTTAAGTCTATTTTGATCATTTTTGTTTTTAATATTTATATTTATGAACTTTTTTTAGGTCTATTTTTAGGAATTTCTCTTTACTTTAGTTTTAGATTTTATAAGCATATGGATGATCATTAAAATTTAGAATTAAACTAATTTTAGTTTTAAACTTAATGTATTCAATTTTAATTTATCTTTTTAAAAGTCTAAAATGTCCCATGGTCTTTTAGGACCGGGCCAGATCTTGAATATAGATACAAAACATATGTGAGTCGGGCTGGGCCGGGCTTAAATAGCAATGGGTTTTGGGCTGATCCCTGTTGACACCCCTAGAAGAACAATCAATATTTAAACCCTAAAACATATAAGCTACCTCAAGCTGTAGAAGCAGCGGGAAGGCCTTATGGTAAAGAGTCTCTTTTACTGATTGATGACGCCTTTCCTCCTCTTTTACTGATTGATGACGCCTTTCCTCCTATCTGACGCTATGATATCAAGGATCAACGGTAAAGTTAACTCGGCTTACCTCTTTTCCGATGAAGAAGAAATAGCAATTTCAGGTATTTACTGTCAATCTCTTCTGATTCTCTATCTTACTTTGCTCCGAATGTTGTTTAAGTTGTTCATGTGTTCTCTTTATGCGTCTCAAGTTTGGGTTTCTTGTCGCTTACGTTTCTCCTTGTGGTGGGGTTTGTACCTCGCTAGGGTTTAGGGTTTTGACCCTTGTTGCTTTTATGGATATTTATCGAGCATGGTTACTTTCAATGATGTTCTTTTTTCAGACGAGATGTATCCTATGGATAGGATAAGTGAGCTACCTGATACTCTACTGTTGAGAGTGTTAGCACTACTGCCTACTGCTAAAGATATTGTGGGCACAATGGTTTTGTCGAAACGATGGCAGTTTCTATGGTTGTCTGTGCCAAGACTTGTGTTTGATGATCAAGAAATTGAGTATGGGAAGTTCTCGCGGTTCGTAGACAGGTACTTGATTGTAAATGAGGTTCCGGAGCTTGAAACTCTTCATTTCAAAATTAGTACAACATGTGCTGCTCAAGATATTAAAGTTTGGATGAGAGCTGCAAATAACTTCGATGAGGGTGAAATGATTATTGAAATCGACAGCTCTTCTTGCGCATCTCCAATCATACTTCCAAAATTTTTCTACACAGAATGTACAATGCTTGTGACACTGAAGCTCAACAACGTGATTCTTGCCGACTTCTCATCACTGATGTTTTTCCCATCACTTAAAACGTTGAGCCTCTTATCTGTTAAGTATCCTGATGAAGAATTTTTCAGCGGTCTTTTAACTTATTGCTATGCTCTTGAAAGCTTGGAAGTTGAAAAATGTCGAGACGACAATGTGAGTGTATTCACAGTGAGAGTGCCCTATCTAAAGAAGTTAGTCTTGCATACCTCAGAAAACAGAGATAGAGATGACTCAGATGGGTTTGTGATAAACACTCCTTGTTTGGAATACTTCAACATTGTTGATCATAAGGGTGGGTTTTGTGTCATTGAAAATAACATGCCTAATGTTGTTGAGGCATATGTTGACGTTACGCATAGTCATCCGAGGATGATTTTGAGCTATATTACTTCAGTCAAGCGTCTCTATTTATGTTTATCAACCTCCAAGGTAGTTTCTTATTTTTTTCTCATCATCATGCCATCTGTAACTCTTGCTTCTGTTTTCAGTATTAATTTTCGGTCTTGTATGCAGGACTTGTATCCTGTTGATACTTTCTTCCACCGTCTTGAACATCTAACGTTATGCACATGTGAGACAGAGTGGTTAAATCTACTTCTGAGCATGCTCAGAGATGCGCCCAACTTACGAGCTCTAAAACTTGAGCAGGTATATATATTTCAACCCCAATTTTATTAAGTGTCTTGACCATATGATATTTACCCATCTTATATACCGTTTTACTTCAGTATCATGGCCTTCCGGCTCATCACTTGCGTGGACTCTGGAATGAACCGAGTTTTGTTCCTGTATGTTTGTCATCGAGTCTTGAAACCCTCGAGTGGGTAAACTATGAAGGAACAGAAGAAGAGAAAGAAGTGGTGGGATTTATCTTGAGAAGCGGAAGCTGCTTGAACAAGGTGAACATATCCTCCAAATCGAGTGACTGCAACAAGAAACTTGAGATGATTAAGGAATTGACATGGTTCATCAGGCGTTCACCTACCTGTCAGCTTGCATTCGACTGAGGCTTATCACCAAACTATTTAGCTTTCCTTGGTTTTGTTTGCATCATTATCACCAATGATGTTATATGGTATTTGCTCCATTTGGTGTTTACTTTAATCTTGCACTGATTTAAGACTTTTAGAGACCTTCGGATCAGTAACCGTACCTTATAGACTTAAATCTAATTAAAACTATAAGCATGTTCTACCTCTTTTGCTCAAAAAGTTTTGTATTGCCATACAGTAGGGATGATCATAGAATGGATATCCTCAATTTTTTTGGTATCTATGGACCATGGTCAGCACTTATTAAAAGTTCAGACATTGATCTGACTTGCTTCGTAAAACTAAATAGTTATAAACAACCCTCGGTCCATCATACTTTTCTGCTCACAAGGTACGTCTTCCAAACTTCTATTCACGTAAACGAGAGAAAATTACAGTTCACGTAGTAGAGAGAAAAGAACTATATATGGCGTCGAGAAGATCCTTCCCCACCACAACATGGAAAAAGTACTGGTAAGAGCATCCACTTGTCCTTAAAAAAAAGAAAGAAGAGCATCTAAAAAAAAGATAGGGGTTTTTGCACATTTGAGTCAAAACTCATGGTCAAACACAAAACTAATTTCTTCTTTTATTTCATCTTGTTTTTGTCCTATCCACCCCACATGTTCATTTTATTTACGAAAATGGCATTAAATTTTTTTTTTTACTTTTTTTCGAAAATGGCATTTTTACTCTCTCAACCTCATCATCTTCAAGTATTTACAACATTGCCATTGCCATGAATACTCCCAACAACCTTGTACAACCCAACAACCTTGTACAACCAAGGTTTGAAGCTTTTAATGCACTTAAAATCGATACTCATACTCTCTTTCTCAATTGTTATGAACTAA